TCTCATTGTTCAACACCCTCCTATGAGTGAGAACATGCAGTGTTTGATTTTCTGTTCTTGTGTCAGTCTGATGAGAATGATGGTTTCCAGGTTCATCCATGTCCCTACAAAGGACACAAACTCATTTTTTATGGCTGCATAGTATTCCATGATGTATATGTGCCACATTTTCCTTGTCCAGTCTGTCATTGATGGGCATTTGGGTTGGTTCCAGGTCTTTGCTATTGTAAACAGTGCCACAATGAACATACATGTCCATTTGTCTTTATAATAGAACGATTTATAATCCTTCGGATATATAACCAGTAATGGGATTGTTGGGTCAAATGGTATTTCTATTTCTAGATCCTTGAGGAATTGCCACACTGTCTTCCACAATGGTTGTCTAATTTACACTCCCACCAACAGTGTAAAAGCATTCCTATTTCTCCACACCCTCGCAGCATTTGTTGTCTCCTGAGTTTTTAATGATCGCCATTCTAACTGGTGTGAGATGATATCTCAATGTGGTTTTGACTAATGACCAGTGATCATGAGCATTTTTTTCGTATGTTTGTTGGCTGCATAAATGTCTTCTTTTGAAAAATCTCTGTTCATATTCTTTGCCCACTTTTTGATGGGGTTGTTTTTTTCTTGTAAATTTGTTTAAGTTCTTTGTAGATTCTGGATATTAGTCCTTCGGCAGATGAGTAGATTGCAAAAATTTTCACCCATTCTGTTGGTTGCCAGTTCACTCTAATGATTGTTTCTTTTGCTGTGCAGAAGCTCTTTAGTTTAATGAGATCCCATTTGTCTATTTTGGCTTTTATTGCCATTGCTCTTGGTGTTTAAGTCATGAAGTAGTTTTGCCTATGCCTATGTCTTAAATGGTATTGCTTAGGTTTTCATCTAGGGTTTTTATGATGTTAGGTCTTATGTTTAAATCTTTAATTCATCTGGAGTTAATTTTTGTATAAGGTGTAAGGGAGGGGTCCAGTTTCAGCTTTCTGCACATGGCTAGCCAGTTTTCCCAATGCCATTTATTAAACAGGGAATCCTTTCCTCATTGCTTGTTTTTCTCAGGTTTGTCAAAGATCAGATGATTATAGATGTGTGACATTACTTCCAAGGACTCTGTTCTGTTCTATTGGTCTATATCTCTGTTTTGGTACCAGCACCATGCTGTTTTGATTATCATAGCCTTGTAGTATAGTTTGAAGTTAGGTAGCATGATGCCTCCAGCTTTGTTCTTTTTGCTTAGTATTGTCTTGGTTGTGCAGGCTCTCTTTGGTTCCATATGAAGTTTAAGGTGTTTTTTCCAGTTCTGTGAAGTAGGTCAATGGTAGTTTCATGGGGATAGCATTGAATCTATAAATTACTTTGGGCAGTATGGCCATTTTCATTATATTGATTCTTCTTATCCATGAGCATGGAAAGTTTTTCCATTTGTTTGTTTCAGCGAAGTCTCAGGACACAAAATCAATGTGCAAAAATTACAAGCATTCCTGCAGACCAATAACAGACAAACAGAGCCAAATCATGAGCGAATTCTCATTCACAATTGCTACAAAGAGAATAAAATACCTAGGAATACAACTAACAAGGGATGTAAAGGACCTCTTCAAGGAGAACTGCAAACCACTGCTCAAGGAAATAAGAGAGGCCAAAGTTCTTAATATTTAGGCAGAGGAAGGGCTCTCTGTTGGGTCTAGACATGAGTTCATGATTGACTAATGCCATGAAATCATAGACACATTGTTGGTGCTTGGAGCATGTATAAGTTTCTGGAGAAGATCCATGATATTCTTCCTATTTGTAAAAATGTCTATGATACAGAAAATGTAAAAAATAAAAATGATACTTGATATAACTGGCAACTTGCTTGGTTAGGCATATTATCCTTTATGGAAAAAGTTTAAGGTGAGTGTTCAAGAAACTAAGCCCTCTTTTTTTTTTTTAACTTGTGTGTCATCTCCCAGTTGAGGGAGGAGGAAGAGAGAGCGACAGTGTTTTGTCCAAGCCTATGTGGCTCCTTCAAGATGCTTGCCCACTCCCTCCATTCCTGGCTTACAACTAGATATTTGGTAACGAAAGCTACTCCTTTCTTTTCTCATGTACCTCTTAACAGTTTTTATAATAAGTAACAGAATGGGAAAAAAATCACAAAGAATAGTTACAACCAAGGATTATTATCCACAATATATGAAGAACTCATAAGAATTGATAAAAGACAACTCCATAGAAAAACAAACATAGATAGTGTACAGACAAATCACAGAGAACAATACAAAGATAAACATAAATGGCCAATAAATGTTTGTAAAATTATAAATAAATATTAAATAAGGAAAATAGTTAAATAAATTATAGTACATTTATATTACAGAATACCATGAAACCATAAGGAATGAGGTGAATTTTTATTAAGAGAACAAATCAATAACAATTTAGGTATTGTCCAGCAATTTTTCATTGTTAAACAGCCCTGAAACAAAGAGTATAAATATATTGTTTGTACCAAGTAAAAGCAAACTGATCTTGATTACCTGGATAGATAGAAAATGAAAGGAATGCCCCAGTAACAGCTGACTTTAACAAAAAGTTTCTGAATAAAGCAGTTTCAACATGATAATGTGTCTTACATAAAAGTCTTGAGAAGTTAGGTGGTCCAGAGGTAGTCAAGTAGTTTGCTCTACAAGGTCATCCTGGCACCTAGGCTCCTTCTCTACTCTGTTGTTCTGCTCTTTAAAACATACGGCTTTCAGTTAATGATCTAAGGTAGCTGCTCTACCTCCTGCTACCACAGTCACCTTTTTGAAAATGGGAAGGAGATAAAATAAAAAGGGAAGGTATGCACTTTTCCTTTTGAAGATATTAGCTGGATGTTGTACACACCACTTCCGCTCACAGTTATGCTCAAAATCTAGTCACATGACACATCTCATTGAAAGAGAGGCTGGGAAATATGGTCTGTACCTGGCAACCATGTGCTCAGCTAACACTTCTATTTCTGTAGGAGTGAGTGGAGAAATGATGCTGAAGGGATGTTGAGTCATCTTTGCCGCAAACAGCCTATCATTTAAACATGGACTGGGTTATGTCCCTTAAAATAGAAACAGTATAAAGGATAGTAATGACCAGGAAGCGTATCACACCATTTACAGTTCAGTAATCAAGAGTCATTCAAATTTCCAGCAGGCCATCTCAGTTAATTTATAAAGAAAATGGCAAGGCTCACCACAAATACAATTACTGCTGTAAGTTCTAGAATGCACCAAGCACACATGACCATAGGGGCTCTAGGCTCCCACTTACCCTTACTCCATGGTGAAGTACTGGCCATAGGTTACAAATTAAACTGGTGGACAGGGAAAACTGCCCCCAACTAATGGTGATTGATATGATTTCGCCCTGTATCCCCACCCAAATCTCATCTCAAATTGTAATCCCCATGTGTTGAGGGAGGGACCTATAATCTCCATGTGTGGAGGGAGGGAGGTGACTGGCTTGAGTGGGGGTGGTTTCCTCCATGCTGTGCTTGTGATAGGGATTGAGTTCCCAGGAGACCCAAGGGTTTTATAAGTGTTTGACAGTTTCTTCTTAAAATGCTAGCGCTGTCACCTACCACCATATAAGATGTTTCTGCTTCCCCTTCTGCCATAGTTGTAAATTTCTTGAGGCTTCCCAAGCCATGCAGAACTGTGAGTCCATTAAACTTCTTTTCTCTATAAATAACCCAGGTATTATCTTTATAGTGGTGTGAAAATGAATTAATACAGTGACCTTCCCCAATACTGCATATGGATACAGAGAAGGCAACAGGAAAATAGTATCTATATCAGTTATTTGAACTCTTCTAGATATTTTTATATGGGGCACTTGGGGCCACTACCTTTGAGAACTAAATCCTCTCTGTCTTCTCATAACTCTTGGCAGGATATGAGTTTTATTAAACCAAGTATGGTGCTCTTCTATGTGGTGAAGGGAATTTTTGGCCTCATAAGCTACCATCTCTCTCATACTAAGCCTCTCTCCTTATTAGATGCCTCAGGTGCCTACACAGCTTTTACTTTAGAATTTAATCATAATCAAAATGTCCAGCAAGGCAAGTACTGATGGATACATGGTGAGAGCACACCAGTCACAAGTGTTTTCAAAATTTTTCCTATGACCAAATAGGATATCCTTGGTTAGTCTTCATAACCTTAGATTTTCCCCAATGCCTAACCCACTATTTCCAATCAATTAGAGTCCTATCTACTCTACCATATGCCACCCAAGTCCATCTCACATTCATTTTCCTTCAACTTCACCCTTGCCAAACCACCACTATCTTTCCTCTGTACATTGCAATAGCTTCCTAACTGGTCTCCCTGCTTCCCCACTCTTGCCCCTTCTAATGCACTGACATATTCTCCATATAATGAATGTAAAACTTTCTTAAAATGTAATTCACCTCATATCTTGCCTCTGATGAAAGCCCTTCAAAGGCCTTCTTCTGCACTTAAAAACAAGTCTAAATTTCTGATTAGGCTCAAATGAATGATGTATCTGGAAATCATCAAGACATTTCCATTTAGGCTGTATGTGATTAGCACCAGGAAAATATGTAGAATATATAATATTCCAAAAAAAGGCTTTCTTATCCAAGGTTCAAAACTCAGAAACTTAAAAAAATGTAAATACCTTACTTCATGAAAATTTAAAAGGTTCTATATGGTAAAAGACATCATAAATACAGTTTTTATAAAAAGTAACAGAATGGGAAAAAATCACAAAGCATAGTTATAATAAAGGATTATTATCCACAATACATAAAAAACTTGTAAGAATCAAGAAAAAGACAATTCCATAGAAAAACAAACATAGACAGTGTGCAGAAAAATCACAGAGAACAAAACGAAGATAAACATAAATGGCCAACAAACACGTTTTTAAAATTATAAATAACTCAAATACCCAATAAGGAAAATAGTTAAATAAATTATAGTACATATATATGATAGAATGCCATGAAGCCATGATAAGAAATAAGGTAAATTTTTATTAAGTGAAAAAAAGTCAATAATAATATAGGTATGATCACATCTATAAGAATACATTGCTACATGTCTACAGGAAAAAGTCTGAAAGAATGCACACCAAACGATTCTGCTTTTAGGAAAAGCAGTGGGATTGATCAGGGCATGGAATGTAGGCTATGGAATGTGAAGTGAGATTAAAATGTTTATTCTACATGCTTTTCTAGTTGGGAATTTTTGACAATGCGAATACATGCACTTACTACTTGCATAATTCTGAAAACTATTTCTAAAAGCAACAGAAAATAGATGAAATTCTATTGGTATATAGCATTAATAGTAGTGAAAGTCTAACAGAAAAGATCTGAAAATCTCCCAAAGTCATGTAGAAACAGATCTACCTGATACACTGCGTACCTAGAAATAATTTTGCATCATGTATAGCTTCACAGATACCCCTATCCCACCAACCTCCAATCCTTCCACTATACATTGATTCTTTTCTAGCTGCTTGAACCATTAGCTGTAAATTTAACTTAAAAGCAAATTATATTTAATCATTGTACCCTGAGATCTAACATTCAGGGAGTTTCTTCAGGTGCAAATACATCCCATTCTTGGGTTTGAGGATAAAATGGTTGGAGAAAGTAAGAGGCCTGGTGGGGTCTGGAGTCATTCTGAAGTGCAGCAGAATCAAGGCAATGGTCACCTTTAACTCAATCATGGCAAACTGTTGCCCAATGCAGTTCCTGCAGACAAGCAGAAAAGAAAGTGATACTTGAAGAAATGATGTTTCTTCTGACTATAGTAAAATACTAGCACAAGAAGTCTCAAGTATACAGTAAAGCGACATTTTTCCACCAAATGCCATTGAAACTTTTGAACTCTAGACTTAAATTGTCCACTGTGAGAATGTGGGCTGCAAGGCTCCAACATGATGCCTTCCCTATCACAAGATGGCAGCTGGGGTTACTCATGAAATTATTTCTCTTGTTTTGAAGGTGGACTGCATTAAGCCTATGAGCAGTAGCTTACATTGTGGGATTGTTTTTGAGACATGGCCAAATAGGATGTGATAGAGAATAGGACTGTCCTTTGTAAAAGTAACTGATCCTTTAGGGCTTAAATAGGCACCAAGATCTACGGCTCCCTGGAAGAATGTATAGAGCTAAGGAACGAAAGGAGTAAGCTATTCTCAAGTAAACATCTTTGGGTACTTTCAGCAACTTCAAATTGTTCTCACCTTGATCCAGCTGAGAATGGTAAGTAGGCATAGGGGTGTCTCTGATCAGAATTCTCCTTAGAGAACCTCAAAGGGTCAAAGACCTGAAATGAGAGAACAACCCCACCACCATCCCCAAACATCATGAACACATTTCTTCACCTACTACCTAGCACTGATCAATAGAAATATAATGTGAACTATATGTGTAATTAAAAATGTCCTGGTGGCCACCTTTTTAAAAGGTGAAATTTGCTGAGTGCAGTAGCTCACACCCGTAATCCCAGAATTTTGGGAGGCCAAGGCAAGCGGATCACAAGGTCAAGAGATTAAGACTCTCTGGCCAACATGGTGAAACTCCATTTCTACTAAAAAGACAAAAATTAGCTGGACATGGTGCACACACCTGTAGTCCCAGCTACACAGGAGGCTGAGGCCAGGAGAATTGCTTGAACTCAGGAGATGGAGGTTGCAGTGCGCCGAGATCATGCTACTGCACTCTAGCCTGGCAACAGAGTGAGACTC